TCATACTTTAACCTGTTATATGACTCTAAACTCCAGGTTAAAGAAATTCAAATTTATCTCTACATTTCCAAGAAACTTATAATTTAACTCCTTAAAATTGAATCCAAATCAAGATCCAGAGTCAACCCAGTTACATGATTTTAAACTAGTCCAGACACTTTACATTTACAATTTTAAAAAGTATACTTTTATAAAGTTCTTGAAGTAAAAAGAAAATATCAAGTTTACAATATCAAAAGTTATTCTTCAGTAAACAGGAGCATTAGGAATAATGCAATGTCAAAACCTAAAGAGAATTTTTTGTTGTTGTTGTTGTGTATTATCAAGCCAGCACCAACCCACAGCTGACCCTCCAGGAGGTTTTCAGAGGCAGCTAGTCACATGGAAAAAGACTGCCCATCCTTCTCCCACAGAGTAGCTGGTGGCCTCAAACTGCGTGCTCTCGGGATTGCAGTGCAGCTTCTTATCACTAGGCCACCAGAGCTCCCTAAAAAAGATTTAAGGTAAGAAAACTAAGGGTGTGCTGAAAAATCATTGACTCCAGCCAGCCTGCAACAACTCCTAAAGATGCTGCTGTCGTTGGCCCCAGACAAGTTTATATTCTATTTTAGTCATAATTACAATTTGATTACTGTAACTAATTTATTTAACCACATAACATAGCAATACAACATTTCTAAATATTTTAACTTAATCGGAACAAACAAAATGCTAAGTAAAACCAAAATTAATTAAGTTTTTACATTTTTACTCCGTGTGATAACTCCAAGCATGTTTTGTAAGATTCAATCAGTAATCTTAAACACCATTAACATAGTGCTGGAAAGCTTACAATTGACGTAAGCCCTGCCTACATGAAGATAATGATCCCAAACTCTTTACATTTGGGGATAAAATATGCAGAACATTTACTTTCCAAATTGTATTGCATTTAATATCGTATTAATCTAAATCTAAAATTAATCGTTTATGACTTGAGCAATTTTCACTGTCTAATAGAATCACTAGCTCCCTGGCATTGACTTGATTCTGAGTCCCCAAGATTCTGGAAATCCAATCCTGTGAATTGCCCTGGAAGGAGATGGCTCACCTTCTCCCAACAATTGGCAGGTAGATTGGAACTGCTGACCTTTTGGTTAGAAGCACAACACAGACTATACCACCAGGGCTCACAGTCAGTTCTAATCCTCCTTTATATAAACAACTCTTCATAAAGAAAGTATAAGGATATATTGATGCTAATTAAGTTTATCCATTAAACACAAAGGAGCTTTATTTTCATTACAATGTTGACATTAAAACAGTTTTTAAATAAAAATTTTAAAAAGCTAGAGTTAAAATAGCCTATAATAAGAGTGAGAAAGGGGAAACATCCTATGTCAGCCAGTCAATAATGAAGAGTGAATAAAGCAATTTCTAGTTAGAAAGACATTTGCTTTTCTATTTATAATATACTACGAGACTAACTCAAAACTCTTTATTCAAGAAAAGAAAAGTCTAATTTCAGGCATTTTCAGCCTCAACCATTGATCATTTGAAAAACAAAAATTCTCACCTAGAAACCTGTCTCTGCTAGCAAAGGGGAAAGGTGTATCCTGCTCTTTTCTTTTACATCAGGAATATACATTTACAACGAAATAAAACCTCCAAGGCAAAGTGGATGTGAGCTGACTGAAGGAAAACAAATAGAAAAATTTACTGACTCAGTTCTGGAGGCCAAAAGGGAAAAAAAACCCCACACCTTTGGGGATTAATTTCCTAGTGTGCTATCTCACTGATAATTTAAATATACATTTATGTTTGTTTGTAATTAAAAAGAAAATCAACAATAAATTAAAAGAACCACAAAAATGAACTGCATTTTATTAGTATAACATTTCTAAATTGTCAACAAAAGGGAAAACAAAGCTGTTTCACAGAAACTTCAGAACACCTGGCAAATCTAAGCTCAACTGTTGTCAACTGCTTCAACTCTATTACTTACCACCATTCTTCAAATTAATTCCATGAAGGGAACATAAACTAAGAGACATCAAATTACCAAATAATTCATTTATGTTCAAAATTATAGCTCGGGGTAATGAAACCCAGAGGGAAATCTAATCAAGTCTTTGTTTTACAGAAAGACTTCATTATTTCCCCCCCTACTACCATAGGGGAAAGGGTTGAGCTGCCAACCCAAAATCAGGCAGTTCAAATCTACCACGGGCTACAAGTGGGAAAGAAAGGAAACCTCTTCTGGTGCAATTTACAGCCTCTGAAAACCTGCTGGAGTATCAGCTATGAGTCTGATCTCACGCCAAGACAAATACCAACAACTACTACAAATAAGCCATTTTAGGGGAAATCATGGGGGGCCATTGGTGGATGGTAGAAGGGAGTATAGAAATTAGAAAATATCCACTAGGGTTTTGAAAGGATGGGGTAATAATTGTGGGCATGGATTAAAGGTGATTGATTTTATAAGACACAATGTATGGGAACGATCAAAGGAACACAGTAGGAATAAAAAAATACAAATTAAAATGTCTAAAAATCCATCTGGAATGCTATTTACTTTTATTTAGTAGTAAAAGATAACTTTTACATCAATCTAAATAATTAGATGAAATAGCATTAAATAAACACAGTAATTTATCTGTATGCATTTGTTTAAATCCATTGTTCAAAAACGTTCAAAAGGCACGTTTTATGCCATCTTTCTTGCACTGAACATATTTAAAAAAAAAAAAAAAAGAAACAAAGATCTTTTCTTTCTGTTATCCAGGACTGAAAGGGCTAGATTTGAAATCTATCCCAAATTCATCTACTTCTTGTTATTTCCATTTTTATCCAGTCCACGACCTTCATCTGAGAACATCAGGAGGGCCTTCTAAACAAAAATCTTGCTTTCATATAATTCATTCTCCTTAATACAGTCAAAATGATCTTCTGAAAACCTAAACCAAACATTCTCATTACCACACTTAAAAACCGTAATGACTTTCAACTCACGAGGGCAGCTTGTAGGAAGGACTCTGAAATCCCTGCCCAGCTGCTCTTCAGTCCATTTTTTCCCACCCTAGCCCTGCTCCTGTTCTTTACATTAGTTTCTCAATCTGGCATTATTGACATCCTGGATTGGGCAACTCTGTTGTGTAGGGATATCCCTGTGCCTTGTAGCTTGTTTAGTGGCCTTTCTGGCTTTACCGTGCTAGATGCTAGTATCACCACCCCCAGTAATAGCAACTACATATGCCTTCAAATATCTCTAGTGAGCCCAGTTCATGTCTGTCTTACGGTCTTTTCACCTCTCATTCTCTGTGGCCCCGTATGAAATGCTCACCCAAAAACTAAGCTGTATACTTGGCTTCTCATAATCACCTCACCTTCATTCTTAGGACTACTCAGAAACTTATCTCCAAGCATTCCAGAGGAAGTGGAACCCCTTCCATCCTATCCATAATCCAGAACATTAAAAATAGGGTCCAAAGCTGTCTGTTGTTGTGAGCTGTCAAGTCAGTTCCAACTCCTAACAATCCTACACACAACAGAACAAAACACCACCTGTTTTGTGCCATCCTCAGCATCACTGCTGTGTGTGTCCACTGTTGCAGTCACTGTGTCCATTCACCTTAATATTCACAGGAGGGAATGCTCCACAGAGCCAAGGATTTTGAAGCTCCATCTCACATATCTGGGCATGTTGCCAGGAGGGATCAGTCCTTGGAGGAGGACCTCATGCTCAGAAGGGTGGACAATCAGAGTAGGAGAGGAAGACCCCAGACAAGATAGATTTACACTGTAACTGGGGTGATGGGGGTAGGTTAGTTGGAGACAGTGAGACTGGCTCAAGACAAGATCACTATGAGTCACAGGCAACTTGATGGCAAATAAGAACAACATTTGCACATGCCTATTTTTTAAAACATGAGAACACATTTCCAGTGCCTTAGGTGCCTTTGTTCTCCTCACTGCTCCTCTACTTTACCAAGATGATGTCTTTCCAGGGACTGGTCCCTCCTGGTAACATGCCTAAAGTATGTGAGATGAAGTCTCACCGTCCCCTTTAAAAAAGCATACTGGAAGTGTTTCTTACAAGACAGATCTGTTTAGTGCTCACAACGTGTTGTAAAGAATGCAGAAATGTCAGTATCTATGAGGAAACTCTTAAAGAAGCAAGTCCATGATATTTAACATCTGATGAACAGCAGCACTCCAGAATATTCTTCCTCACTGTGTTAGCCCACATCATTCAAATCTCATTCTAATGCATTCATCCTCTCCTTTAGAAAGGCTGGTAGCAGGGCTGTCAGACAGCCACATGTCTCTATCCCTTGTGTCTTAAGAGAAACATGCTTCTCATGAGTAGGGGACAAAGAGACATGACAGCTCTTCAGAATACTGAACATCGTGCATCACAGCTGAGACGGCCAGACCTGAGGGCACCTGCGGTGGTTCCTTCATTCACACAGAAGGCCCCAATAAGGATAAGTAAAATTCTGTCATTTACCTTGTTTTAAATGACACAAAAAAAATTAATCAAAATAGAAAAACATTATTTTAGTTACTTAAAAAAAACCCTAAAGGCTACACTGAATGAAATGTAAAAGTTAATCTAAATTTAATAGATTTTTTTTCACACTATTATACGAATTGCTAAAATCCACTCAGGTTAACTATAAAATGAATAGTTAAACCCTGCAAAACTAAGTAATCAGTTGTCCAACTGTATCCCATTCAACCTCAAAAAAGGGTAACTACATATCTCAAACAACCAGTCAGTTGCTCCTGAAGCTGTTTCATAGCAGTACTTTGAGTACATATTTCTGGGAAACATTAATTAATCTTTTTAAAACTGTACATAGCATTGCTCTGAATAAGTAATATACATTTCTAGATTTTAATCAAAATCATTGACTTTAAGAACTATCACCCATAACAGCAACAATCTAAGGGCTTTCTAAATGCATTCTGAGACCTATCGGAGGGGCGTGCAGGCGTGAGGAAACATCACATACCAGTTGTGCACCATCAGCTTTTGCACAGCCAGTAGAGCGTTGTACCGGACCTGCTGGTCTTCATGGTGCATGTGGTTCATCACCAGCTGCTTCCCACCAAGTTGTTCAATAACCCTGCATGCAGAACAGAAAAGATGTGGCCATGATGCTTCAAGCACTTTCAAACCAAAATGGTAATCAGCAGAAAGCTCTCATACAGGCCAAGGAACTGTAAAAAAAGTTACAACAATACATAAGTAAACCAACACACTGCTTTTTACTTCATTTTTGTCTGAGTCACAGAAAAAAGTATTAAAATTGTTTTTAAGTCCTATGAATCCAATTTTTACTCTCATTTCCCAATCAAGGAAAATACCATCTGTTTGAACACCTCACAGACAGTATCATTCTAGATTATAAATTTTTCTAGGTGATATAAGTTCTTTACTACCACTACTTCTTAAAACAAGTGTTATTTTACATAAAATATACTAAAACTATCTAATATCTGTAACATCAATAATCCATAAGAAATCCTTCTTTACTCCTCCTCGTCTGAATCAGGCTTGAATTTCTGTTGGTGAACCACTACATATTTTTTCTTTTTAATAAAACCTGGGCTGTGAATCTCTAAGGTGCTCAGGGAAGATCTCTTCTTCATGCGAGGAGGGTCTCTTTGGCTGAGGGGCAGAAAAGCAGCCCTCAGGACCCCCAATACCTCCGAGAGGGGACTTTTTTATTTTTTTTTAATTGGGAAAAACATATTGGGGGTACAAGGAGGTGAGGGTTGGGGGCAGAAGGGTAAGGATGGGCCAGGATGCAGTTGCAGAGTTGCACAATTTGGTTGGTGGGGGGAGCAGGTGAAGGAAATAATGAGGGTCCAGTGGGGACCAGATGCTACAGAGGAATGACAAGCATTTTCCAATAGTAATTAAACCAACTGTCTTTTCTATTTGGGAATTGGATGCCGACTCTCTGGCTTCTTCATGCTGAACAGGGGCGTAGATATAAAGGGGGGAAGGGAGGACGCTTTATCACCTTACTGGTGGTCTTGGGTTACAGCTGCTTGCCTTCTTGCTCCTGAGGGCCGCGACGGTTCGCCCTGAGCTGGGGGCCTAGCGCAGCCCTCCCCAGGCAGAAGGCCACGACGGCTCGCCCCGGACAGAGGGCCGAGGGCAGCCCACCCTGGGCAGAGGGCCACGACAGCTGAATTAGTCTTTTTTTAAAAAAGAAGAAGTGTGTGTGTGTGTGTGTGTGTGTGTGTGTGTGTGTGTGTACTGTCAAAGTGGATCTGATTGGTACAGGAGACTGCCCCTCCTTCTCCAGCAGAGCATGAAGTAGAGTCTGGTTTCCCCCCCCCCAGGTGCCTGTCGGGGCCTGGGTTTCAGCTGTCCACACCACAGCAGTGGACAACGAGCTTAAAACCCCTGATGGCTCTGGGCGCTCTCACTAGTGGCTATGGATGAAGTCACAGGCAATTTTCAGCCAGCGCTGGTAGAGGGGACTTTTGATGGAGGAAGTGAGTTGTATGGCTGCTCATCCAGGATTCAGGGAAATTCTACCTCAAAATGAGTGAGGAAGAAAGTGTGAGAATCAACTTCTGAGATATCCTTTATTTTAGGGTGGGGAGTGTGTGGTGGGAGGCCTCAGGATCCCACCCCCAGGTCTACACAAGTGAGGCCGGCCCAGTAGTGAGAGAAGACAAGTAGTATGAAAGCTGGACAGAGGCTATCTTTCGAGTCTAAGGAGAAAGCAGGTAATGACTGGCAAAAGACAGGTAATGACTATTCCATGCTCTCTCATAAAGGCCAAAAGGGAGGTTGAGAAGAAATGAACTAGTGGGGCCAGAACAGCATAGTCACAGCTTCTGGAGAAGCAGGGTGGGGAGAGAGACAGGTGTCCTGTCCCTGGGAAGATACAGTGGGAGGGTGGAATATCCCCAGGGAAGATACGATGAGAGGGCACCACGTGTCCCCAGAAAGATAGGTTGGGAGGGCCAAGGCCAGTCTCAGGAAGGGTGAAGTGTGTCCTCCTCTGGAGAGTGGGAAGAGTACAGGTGTTCTGTCCCTAGGGAAAGTAACACTGGGAGGGCCGAGTGTCCCTGGGAAAGATATGCTCAGAGGGCCAAGTGCCCCTGGGGAGATACACTGGAAGGGCTGAGTGTCCCCAGGGAAGATAGGTTGGGTGGGCCGAAAGTCTCCAGGAAGAAACGTTGGGAGGGCTGAGGCCAGTCTCAAGAAGATATGCTGGGAGGGCCAAGGCCAGTCTCAGTAAGGGTGAAGTGTCTCCTCTTCTGGAGGGTGGGGAGAGCTACAGGTGTCCGGTCCCTGGGGAGTTACACTGAGAGGGCCAAGGCCAGTCTCAAGAAGGAGGGTAAAGTGTCTCCTCCTCTGGGATCTCAAGGTCTAGGGGCCCTAATGGATCAGCAAGCATCCTGAGGCTGCTTTCTCTGGACTCTGAGGTGCTTCATGTCAATCTGATAACTGTCCATGGCCTGGAAGGCAGCCAGGGCACTGCCCGGATTGTCAAAACTCATGAAGCATTTTCTCTGATTGATCAACAAAGTCAACAAAGACTGTGGTTGAAATGATCTGACAAGAGGGAACAAACATCAGAAGGATCTCTGAGTCAGCGGACTTTATCTCTTGGGCAGGTGAGAAATGATACAGAAGCTGTGTCCCTCAGAGCTTTCTCATTGCTATTGCTGTGACTGATGCAGGTCTGGCAAAGACAACATAGGAGCGATGGCTGGAGGGGTGAGGGAGTGACAGTGGTGTCATAAGGCCACTGGCATCGATGTGCATGGCAGCCCTGGTGGCCACAGGACTGAGGTGATGACAGAAAGTCACTACCAAGGCGACCTGTTGCTACATCAGGGCTTGGGTGTAGGCACTGCAGGCTCAAAGCTAGAGGGCAATGGGCTAAATATACCCAGATGTCTGGTCACCTGCTATGCTTTTCCCTCTCTATCAGTAAACTTCACCACTCGGCTGGACAAGACACCAGACAAGGTCCAACAAGTTTCTGTTGCTGCATCCAGGCTTCAGAGCACCATGCACTTGTCTACATTCTAAAAGGCTCCAATGTCTGCCACACATCCTTACCTAACTGCTACTATCATAGTATCCCCACTCTGAGCTCTCAGTCTTCTCAAACCTATGGGCAAGCTTGGCCTGGACCATCCATGCTGATGGCAAGTACCTCACCTTGTCACAGGATGTCCTGGTGTCCCTGAGCCCCACCCCCAGCCTCCATTTTCTCAACTCTCTCTCTCTCTCTCCCCCCGCCCGGCCCCCTTTCTTGAGTTCTGATGATGTAGTATAAGAAAATATGCTGCAATCCCAAAGGCACAAAATTTTGAATTCAACAGCTTCTCTACTGGAGAAAGATGCACAATCTCCTCCCAAGGGATTTGTTGCCTCCAAAAACCTACTGGAGGGTCAGCTATGGGTTGGTTCCAACTTCATAGTACATAACAATTGTGAGTTGAGTAAAAGTTTACAAAACAAACTGGGTTTTAATTTAACCATTCATACACATTTTGTTTTACAACATCATTATTTCTATAATGTAACTACATTCTTCCCACAGCTTCTTCTCTGTGTCTCATTTTCATTAGTCCTTCTCTCCTAACCCTTTCTGAGCTTTATCCCTAAATAAATGCTCGTCTTTTGACTTCCTTCAGTTGATTAGTCTAAGGAATGTATGCCTCAGTGGTGTTGCTCTTCATCTCATGGACCTGTTCACTATTTGGCTAAAAGCTGAGGTGTAGAGCCTGGTTTTGTTGCAGGTTTAAAGAATGACTAAGGGCCACACACTCAAGGGTTCTACCAAACGTATACTTCAAAAGTATACATGCTCATTTTTTACATGTGGTGTTGTAGCAGTTTTAAAAATTTTTTTCACATGCCCATTTTTATGTTTTCAGATTTATTCCCAATTTTTTCACCCACTCCACCCAGACTCTTTGTGATGCCCTAGGACCTAGGCAGGTTCATCAGTCTTTCTGACTAATTGTTTCAGTGTATCTTTATTCTTCTTTCCTCTTCTTTGTTCCAGACAGACAGAAACCAACAGTTGCACCTGGCATGGCTGCTCCTAAGTAGAAGGTCTTAGTCTCTACCCAACAAAGTAGGATACAGAACATGGAATTCATAGAATATATCCGTTAACACTGATGTCCTCCGAGTCTATGGTTCTAAGACCCTAGACGAGCAATTTATTCCCTTGCGGTGTTTGGTTATAATTAAGAAGTTTACAGAACTTTTCTCTCCTGTTAATTCTGCCATATGTCTGTATTAGTTACAGCACTACTAATATGAATACATAAATATCATTTACCAAACCTATATAGAGTCATGCATATAGTTCCTCTGAGGGTCAGAAAAAGAAAAACCACCCTCAATGAGATGCATAGATACTGACTGCAACAAAGGCCTTGAGCATATCTGAGACTGTGAGGATGATACAGAATAGGACAAGGTTCCAATCGGTTTCTCAGAGGGATGCTATGGATCACAGTTAACTCAATGGTACCTAACAAAAACAACAATGTACAATTTCCCTGAAGGTTATAGATAAGGCAAAATTTGAGTGGAAGAGTCACTGTGTTCAATGTAGAAAGGACCATCACTTCCTTCCCCTACCCATGTAAGAAAGACATTGGGACAGAATGACAGTAAAGGGGCACCACATTTCCAGCCAACTCTGTAACCCTGCTCTTTGCAGTGTGACATGCCAGCCACCCCATTCTGGTGGTAAAGTTTTATATCTCTATCTTCAGAATCTTGGCTGGCCTTGTGACCTGCTTGGCTAGTATCGTGACTACAACAGAAATGACTGAAGCAGAGATGAAAATGGGCCAGTCTAAGCTTAGATTTAAGATTTGCCAAAAATCTAGCAAATATCTTTTTATATACTAACCATTTTTAATATGTTTACCATAATTCCCTGAATACAAGAATCTTCATTTATTTCAATAATTCCTTTGGCAAACTTCTCTACTTTAGATACAAAGTAGATTAAATTAGATACAAAGTACATTAGCTAAAATTTTTTGAAGGTTTCAAAAACCCAAATCAAATTGTTTTTCTCATACCGTTTGCCTCGTGGGTAATGTCGCACATATTCTCCAACATCATGAGCAGCAACAGCCAAAACTTGTGGATCATCTGACACTTCCAGAAGTTTTGTCAAGATTCTGAAGTAAATGTAAATCAAAAGAGAGAGATCGATAATTTTGTATTAAGCACAACAGAGCACAGGTAAAATGCAGATATTTTCCTAAAAACTGTTAAATGCCCCTGAGTCTGAACCAACTCAAAGCTGATTTTCTGAGGCTATACATCACATGGTAGGAAAATGGCCCTCCTTCTCCTTCAGAGAGGTTGGTGGAGTCAAACCACCTGCCTGTGGGTTGGCAGTGCAACTCTTTACCCACCAGGCCACAGGAGGTCCCTCTTCCTAAAAATAGAAGTTATAAACATAATGTTTTGTGGGTGGTTGTTTTGTTTTTACTGACTTCACTATTACACACATTAAATTTTTTCAAAGTTTCTAGGCATATATAACATGTTACTTTCAAAATTGCAATATTAGTCAGCCAAATTTACAAAATATTAGTAATTCTTCCATCACAAATAAAAGCTATTTTGAAGAAATATTTTCTGAAATACTTAAATACTTTTAAAATTCTACAATTGTTTTATTTCTTTTAATAATTTCGGTTAAAATTCTTAGAAAATAATTACTTTTAATACTCCATGATCAAGATGGCGAACTTAACATTGAACACATGTAGTTGTTAAGAGCTGCTGAGTCACTTGCAACTCATAGCAAACCTATGTACAATAACTCTGAACTCTGCTCTCTCTTGAGCCAATTTCATTGTCTCTGACATAGCTATCCAGTACCTAGTGACTCTCTTGCACTGTACCCCAACCCTTCCAAGCATGATGTCCCTCTCCAAGGACTGGTCCCTCCTAACAACATGCCCAAAGTATGAGAAATGGAGCTTCAAAATCCTTATCTCCACAGAGCAGCCTGCTTTCACCCTCTCTAGGGCAAAACCTGTCTGTTCTCTTCACACTCCATTCAATACTCTTCTCCTGCACCATAAATCAAAGGCATCGATTCTTCTCCTATCATCCTTACTCATTGTCAGCTCTGATGCATAACCAGAAATTGCAAAGACTATGGTTTGGTTCAGGCGCCCCTTAGTCTCTAGACTGATACTGCTCTTCAGTATGCTGGAGAGATCCCTACAGCAAACTTTTCCAATGCAATTTGTCTTTTGATTTCCTGGCTGCTGGTACCAAGAATTTTTATTATGGAGCCAAGCAAGCTGAAACTGTTAACAATCTCAATCTATTCACCATCTTAGCATGATATTGCCAATTGGACTAGTGGTAGGAACTATTGTCTTCTTGATGTTAAGCTTCAATCTATATTGAAGATTACAGTCCTTGACCTGCAGCAGCAAATGTCTCAGGCCCTCCTCAGTTTCAAGAAGCAAAGCTGTGACATCTGTATAATGCCGGCTGTTGATGAGTCTTCCTCTAATCCTGATGCCATATTTCTCCTCATAAAGCCCAGCTTCCTGGATGATCTATTCTGTTTTTATTGAACACATATACCTCCCCTTTCTCATGCCCTAAATTTTACAAAAGGTAGGAGTATACATTACACAAGTGGAATTAAATACATAACAGTAGATAGATATTTCTGGGAAGATGTCAACCAAAACCCCCAATTCTGAATCCCTCACACTCCCAATACATGTTCTGGAACCACCATACAAACAGAATAAAATTACTGCTTGAGTTGGAAGCATAGCTATTTCTGGTTCAGGAGCCAAGGATCAACAGCAGAAAAAGATGGCCTCTGCTGACCCTGAAGCCACAAGCATGAATGTGCAAAGGTTCACCTCCTAGAAGACCTCCAGAAAAAAGAAAAATACATTTATTCCTGGCATCTAGGAGTCTCGAGGGGTGTGGGGGAGATGGGGGGGTGCTTACAAAGTTCAGAAGAGAAAAGTTGCAAATATAATACAGGGGAGTTTTCCAGATATTTCTCACATAATTCCTCTACCTTTACATTGTCATTGCAATGACATGTATGAAAACTCAGAAGGTAAAATGAGTAGTTAATCTTAATTAAACATCAAATTTCATTTCCCTAGATTCTTCATTAAAGATTATGTAAAAATATTTTAATAACATTTATTATCATTTTGTCAATTGGGAAACAAGTGCATCAGGGATGTGTCCTATCTCCACAGGTTTTCAATCTACATGCAGAAGAGATCTTCAAGAGGCTGTGTTTTTTGAGGAGGAATGTGGCATCAAGATTGGAGAAAGGCTCATCAATACTTGCATTATGCAGATGACACAACCCTGCTTGCTGAAACTGAGGAGGACCTGAAGCTTTTGCTACAAAAGGTAAAAGACTATAGTCCACATTATGGATTGAAGCTTAATCTTTGTCAAGACGACAAAGATTCTCACCACTGGGCCAATTGGCAGCAAAATGATGGATGGTTCTCTCATATTTTTCCCTCAGATTTATATCAATATTGGTTCCCTCATTTTTGCTTAACTATCATCTTTATCACTTCACATATATTCTTTTATTCAAAATATATATTTAATTCATAACTAGAGACAGAAAGTACAAGGCATTTTCTGGATATCATTTTACTCAAATATGCTGGAGAAAAAATGAGTTTATATCAGATATGCCCACTCCTGACTTATCAACATGATTATGGGACAAAGCCCAGATCATTATAAAACTGAGGCTATGAGAAAATGGAAGAACCATAATGGATCATAAATGGAGGATGACTACACATTTATCTTTATCTAAGTGCCAAGCCACAGATTCTTTGTGGCCCAGCCACGTCGACACTTAACTATAATCACCACAGTCAGTACTCAGTCAGTGCACACATCACTCACTACCTGTTACTGAGAGACACTGTTAATGCACAAAATAACTGGATAAACAATGAATGTCGGTGAGAATGTGGACAGATTGGAACTTCCATGCATTGCTGGTGGAACTGTGAAATGATATAACCATTCTGGAAAGCTTTCTGGCATTTCCTCTGAGAGATGACAACAAAAATCCCATATGACCGAGCTATTCCACTATTAAGACTATACCCCAAGGAAATCAGAACGAAGGCACATATGGAGAAATGTACACCTATGTCTATAGGAGCATTATTCACAATAGCAAGAAAATGGAAACAGCCCAAATGTCCATCAACAAATGAGTGGATAAAGAAATTGTGATGAATTCACACAATGGGGTGGTGTATTATGCAGCACTGAAGAACAAGCAACCTGTGAAATATTCTGCAGTATAGGCAGGGCTGGAGACAGGATGCTAAGTTAAATAATTCCATCTAAAAAGAATAAATACTGGATCAGACCATTACTGACTGTGAAAGCATGAGGGTAATTTGAGGAGCAAGGGAGGGTCAAGAGAGCTGAGACAGGATGTACAGCCAAGGAACATTGTAAAGATAAGAAAAAATGGATGACTAATCTGGGAAGAACTGACAAAAGGACAGTATGGTATTAAAATTATCAAATAGGACAGGTTACATACAACTCTTCAAAAGGGGAAGAGGAAGGGAAGAAGGGGAACGAAAAAGAAGGAAAACATAAGGTATACGAATGAATGTATAAACACAATGTACAATAATGAATATTCAAAAAAGTGAACTGGGGGAACGGAGGTGGAGGAAGGAAAATATGCAATAATGTTGTTGTTACTGTTGTTGTTATATACCATCAAGTCGCTTGCGACTCATAGCAACCCTATGTACAAGAGCCCTAAACCCAGCTCTATCCTGTGCCAACCACCGTCTCTGACACACTCCCACCACCCCAATCACAGAATCGATCCATCCCATCGAAGGTCTTCCTCTCCCAAACATGATATCCATCTCCAAGAACCAGTCCCTCTTTGCAACATGCCCAAAGTATGTCAGACAAAGTTTCAGAATCCTTGACTCCAAGGAACAGGCCAGCTTTAACCTCTCCAGGACAAACCTGTTTGTTCTCCTAGCAGTTCATGGTATATTCAACACTCTTCTGCAGCACCACAGCTCAAAGGCATCAATTCTCTATCATCCCTAGTCACTGTCCAACTTTCCGATGCATAGCATATAACTGCGAAGACTATAGCCCGGATGAGGCGCATCTTAGTCTCCAGCCTGATGTTGTTTCTCTTCAATACTCTAGAGAGGTCCCTGACTGCTGACTTTCCCAGTACAATTCCTCTCTTGTTTTCCTGGGTGCTGATACCAGGAGTGTTGACTATGGAAACAAGCAAACTAAAACTGTTAACTATCTCAATCTCTTCACCATCCATACTGATGCTGCCAATTGGTCCAGTGGTGAGAATCTTTGTTTTCTTGATGTTGAGATTCAATCTGCATTTAAGACTGCAGTCCTTGACCCTCTGCAAAAAGCACTTCAGGTCCTCCTCAGTTTCAGCAAGCAGGGTTGTGTCATCCACATAACCCAGGTTGTTGATGACTCTTCCACCAATCCTGATGCTGCATTCCTCCTCGTACAGCCCACCGTCTCAGATGATCTGTTCTGCATATAGACTGAAAAGGTATGGAGACAGAATACATACCTGGCAGATCCCCTTCTTGATTTTGAACCATGTAGTGTCTCCTCGTTCTGTTCTGACGACTGCCTCTTAGTCCAACTATAGGTTTTGCATAAGCACAATCAAATGTTCTGGGATGACTGAAAATCCAACTTGCTGTTAACTTTTGTTAAAATCACAATTAAAATAAGAAATTTTATTAAAAAGAAAACACAGTGTGCATCACACTGATCAATACTGTCATTGTTATTGTTGTTGTTATGTGCTGTTGAGTCACTTGAGACTCATAGCAACCCTATGACAATAGCCCTAAACCCTGCTCTGTCCTGTGCCAATCTCACTCTCTCCAACACATCCACCCCAATTACCACAGTCACTGAATCAATCCACCTCATAGTGGGTCTTCCCCTCCTGTGCTGTCCTTCCACCCTCCAAAGCATGATGCCCCTCTCTCTATGGTCCCTTCTTGCAACATGTCCAAAGTAGGTCAGACAGAACCTCAGAATCCTTGCTTCCAAGGAGCAGCCCAATTTAACCCTCTCCAGGATGAACCTGTTTGTTTTCTTAGCA